TATTTACAAAATACTCTTTTCCACAGGCTTTTAGTGTAGTGTTCCAAAAGGCCATAGCCAAGGCTGAACCTGGCGAAACTTTGGATTTGCGAGTGTCCAATCTGATCGATTGTATAACGTATTCGGTGTTTCAGTATACTTCGCGTGGTCTTTTCGAATGCGACAAGCTGATCTTCGCCTCGCAAATGACATTTCAGGCAAGTCGTTCGCCTTAACCATTTCAGCTATTACTTGATAGTAATTTTTTTTTATCCTCGCTAGATTCTACTTATGAACGAGGAGGTTACATCGGCGGAACTGGACTTCTTGCTCCGCTTCCCGATCAAGCCACATGTGACAAGTCCTGTGGACTTTCTGACCAATCAATCGTGGGGCGGAATATGCAGTCTAGCGTCCAAAGATGAATTCAGGAACTTGGACCGCGACATCGAGACCTCCTCGAAGCGCTGGAAGAAACTGGTCGAATCGGAGCTGCCGGAGAAGGAGAAATTCCCGCAGGAATGGAAGAACAAAACAGCTCTGCAAAGACTTTGCATGATCAGGGCCTTGAGACCGGATCGCATGACCTACGCATTAGCGTGAGTATCTACTCATTATATATAATGATGTATCCATCCATATAAATAACTTTCAAACAGGGACTTTATTGAAGAGAAGCTGGGATCTAAATATGTGGAAAGTCGCGCCATGGAATTCGCCAAATCATACGAGGAGGCTAGTCCCTCTACACCAATATTCTTCATCCTCTCGCCAGGCGTGAATCCTCTCAAGGATGTGGAGGCGTTGGGCAAACAAATGGGCTTCAGCATGGATCTGGGTAATTTCCATAATGTGTCTTTGGGACAGGGCCAGGAAGCCATTGCAGAGGCCGCCATGGACACTGCGGCCAAACATGGCCACTGGGTGGTGCTGCAGAATATACATCTGGTTAGAAAGTGGCTACCAGTACTGGAGAAGAAGCTGGAGTATTACGCCGAGGACTCACATCCGGACTATCGCATGTTCCTGAGTGCAGAACCAGCCTCAACACCCTCGGCTCACATTATTCCACAGGTAAATATGTTTATATTGCATACTACTTTTTGTTTCAAAAATAAATTATACAGAAACACTTTGAATCTTAAAACATACATACAAATGTATTAAAAATATTGGGCTTTGTAATACTTTATGATTAGCTTGTTTTGATGAAGAATATTGAGCGCATTCAATTATTTATGTATAACATTATTGTCTGATGAGTCAAAATTCTTAAAAAAATTTAAAAGTAAGATCGTTATGTTGAGTCAAATTAAAAATATAAATATTAAAAATATAAAAATACGCACTCTATTATATAAAAGGATGAGTCAAAATACTTTATCTTTTCAAAAAGTCATTGAATAAACTTTCATGATAACCAATAACTAAACATTTAATTAATCCGGTCATTAAAGATTTGACTGATGCAAACTTTATCATTAGTTGTATAACAATATTTAATAGCAAACTTAATAAGGTTTTCCACTCGATTTTAGGGCATCTTGGAATCTTCGATTAAGATCACCAATGAACCCCCTACTGGAATGTTGGCCAATCTGCACAAGGCACTGGACAACTTCACCCAAGAAACGCTGGAGATGTCGGGCAAGGAGGCCGAGTTCAAGGCCATCCTCTTCTCCCTCTGCTATTTCCACGCCGTCGTCGCAGAGCGGAGGAAGTTCGGTCCTCAGGGATGGAACAAGATCTATCCATTCAACGTGGGCGACCTGAACATAAGTGTTTCGGTGCTGTACAATTATCTGGAGGCCAACGCCAAGGTCCCATGGGAGGATTTGCGATACCTTTTCGGCGAGATCATGTATGGAGGTCATATTACAGACGACTGGGATCGTCGGCTTTGCATCACCTATTTGGAGGTTGGTTAAAATATAATTATAAGTGATAAAATAATCAAATTGGTTGGTTAAAATACAATTATAACTGATAAATTAATCAAATGGAGAAAACAAAATTAGCTATTAAAATTGTTTGATTATGTCAAACTAGAAAATATTTATTTAAAAACTCAAATCATTGAAAGCAGATACTTTTTCATTAATTTAGTGCTAGTGTAATATTTAATTATAATATATTTTTATCCTTTTCAGGAGTACATGCAACCGGATTTGGTGGACGGCGAGCTGTTTCTGGCGCCCTCGTTTCCCGCACCGCCCAACACGGACTATCTGGGCTACCACACCTACGTGGACGAGATGATGCCAGCAGAGTCGCCGTATCTGTACGGGCTGCATCCCAACGCGGAGATCGGATTCCTCACCACCCGGGCGGAGAACATCTTCCGCACGGTGTTCGAGATGCAGCCGCGGGATGCCGGAGCCGGAGGAGGGGCAACGGTGACGCGCGAGGACAAGGTCAAACAGATCGTCGATGAAATCATCGAGAAGCTGCCGGAGGAGTTCAACATGGTCGAGATCATGAACAAGGTGGAGGAGCGCACGCCGTATGTGATAGTGGCCTTTCAGGAGTGCGAGCGGATGAACTTCCTCACCAGCGAGATGAAGCGCAGCCTGAAGGAGTTGGACTTGGGCTTAAAGGGTGAATTGACCATTACGTCGGACATGGAGGTGCTGGAGAATTCACTGTTTTTGGATCAAGTGCCGCCCATTTGGACGCAACGTGCGTATCCTTCGCTCTTGGGTCTCAACAATTGGTTCATCGATCTGTGCCTGCGCCTGCGCGAACTGGAAACCTGGTCCACAGATTTTGTGGTGAGTAGCGCTTCGTCATTAATATCGATCAATAGGTATCTCAAAAACCCCTCTTTGTAGCTACCCTCTTGCGTCTGGCTGGCCGGGTTCTTTAATCCGCAATCCCTGCTCACGGCGATCATGCAGAGCACTGCCCGGAGGAATGATCTGCCGTTGGACAAGATGTGCCTCCAGTGTGACGTGACCAAGAAGCAGAAGGAGGAATTTACGTGAGTACTGCCCTCGCTGACACGCAATTCTCAATTGACTTTTGATGTGACCCCTTCCCGGGAATATTTACATTCCCATAAGCAAATGTTGTTTTGCATCAGATTCTCAGATTCGCGACTGTCACAGATTCCAAGAATAGGAAAATGTAATTGTAGTCTTTTATCTAGAGCATGTGCCAGTTTACTTTCTTCTTTCTGTATCAAACAGCCAGTGAGCATTTTGAATGGTGGGAAAATAATCACCCACTTTTTCAAAATAGCTTTTTTTGAAAAGATAATCCCCTGCTCCGCCTGATCTTATCTGGCTTAAGCCCCCAGAGCTCTTCCCTCCGTCGCATAATGTAATGTTGTGACATGTAATCAACGCGTCGTGCTGGACAGAAAATCCAGCTGCGGCCATTGGCCAGCGACCGGCTTTGAGTGGGTCTATAAATAGCCACAATGCTATTTCATAAGAGCTAATTTTAAACCAGCACTGGAATATAAATATGTGGGACTTATTAATAGCCAGCAATTTACAACTGTCTATTTACTGATGAGCTGATTGCCTATTAAGTGGCGCCTCGCCATCCACGTTTCACATGGCGTCGCTGCCGGGCAAACAATGGAGTAACGCGGCTCCGGCGCGTCGTCTCCGGAATTAATATGTACTTTTGTATGGCGATTAGCCTCGACACCCGCCCCCCTAATTGACTTGGGGGAGGGGGGCTATGGGTAACCACCATATCGATATCTGAGACGGTAATCATCTGGTAATTACAGGACGGCACCGCGCGACGGCTGCTGCGTGCATGGGATCTTCATGGAGGGCGCCAGGTGGGACATCCAGCAGGGCATCATCATGGAGTCGCGGCTCAAAGAGCTCTACCCCTCGATGCCGGTGATCAATATTCGGGTGAGTTGGCAAATGCAAATCGGGGCAAATGCTAAAATCGGCGAATCGAGAACGGATCTGTGGCGTCTCAGTGCTGGCGCATGTTGGCATAAATTCGAAAACTAGATTCCACTCTATTATTCCACTTAATGCGATTCCGATTTCATATGACCTCGTCTATGTACTGCAGGCAATCACCCAAGATAAGCAAGACCTGAGGAACATGTACGAGTGCCCGGTCTACAAGACCCGCACTCGAGGCCCCACCACCTATGTGTCCAATTTGAATCTGAAGACCAAAGACAAGCCGGGCAAATGGATACTGGCCGGCGTGGCCCTACTCTTGCAAACCTAATTTAGACGTCTAAACCTAGAATTATTTAAGCTTTCTAACGTAGTGCCATCGGCTAATTTCGTAGAATTTTTCTAGTCAGTAGTTCACCACCTAGAAAGACATCTCTTTAGAACAATAATAGATCTAAGTTAGACCAATGTACTAAGTTTTCCTGTAGATTTCAAGTTTGACTTTAGATTAGATTTCTTCGTTATAGAGCACTTTATTTTATAATAAAACACCTCCTAAGTAGACTTGCCTTAGGCGCACTAGCATAAAACCGAACAGAAAAGTTGAATTTGTTTTGCCTGGTGAGGGGAATAATTGGTGTTCAAAAGGTCTTCTTTCCTTAAGGTAAGAATTCTATTAATTATTTTAGCTATGACTTTATTTGTTTACCAAGCAATTGTTTACATTTGATAGGTAATACCCCATGGAAACCACCGTCATTTGGCCGACAATTGATAATAAATAATTTGTGAGATAATACAACGACGCAGCTGATAAGTCTGAAAATTCGAAAAATCTTAATGAAAATGCTAAATCAAAAGCGTCGCGTATCCATAAATAAGAAGCATATTATATGTATCTGGGGGAAGAGCAGCATCATCAAAGAAAATTCATAGACATTGCTGAGTGGAGTGAACTCGTGGCCGTCGCCAACTGAAACAATTTTCATATTTTTTGCCTTGCCTTTAATTTATATTGTGTGTTCGATCCGACTCTCCCGCTCTATAGAGCTCTCTGATAAGCGTGTGCCGAGTCGGTTCGGTAATGCTGACGAAATTTTAAAAGATTTTCGAAGATGCCCCAGCATCTCGAGCGTCTCAGTATTGAGCGGTACGTGAACCAATTGACAGCGATCGTCGAGGAGGAGACTTTTTAGTGACTGCATAAATACATGAATAATTCAAACTCAAAAACCCCAGCGACAACAACAAGTTGGACCACGACAACGTGACCTGCCTGTAGAGTTATCGATCAAACGACCGACCCGACGAATCTACCGATCTACCGATCTACCCAACCGTTCATCTCGTATCTGACGTATTCCAGCCCAGCTAACAGCAGCGCAGCCACAATACAAAATACCCAATACCCAATACCTAAGAAAAAAAAACACAATAAAACAATCAGAAACAACTACAGGCGAAATGTGCGGAGAAACAAAAAGAAAATTGAAGACGACGACACGAGCGTAAATCTTTTTAGCATGAAAAAATTCTATAAAACTAACAGGCACTGTGTGGTCGGACATCATTCGTGCGCTACGACGGCAGACGACAGCCGCAGATACAGATACGGATACAGATACAGATACAGATACAGATAGCCGGATTCGTCAAACGGACAGGCCCTGATTCTGATTGATTGATTGCCGAACCCATTGCCGGGCCCCATCTCCATCTCCATCTGCATCGCCAACGCAAAACTCCTGCCCGAAACTGCCCAAAACCAAAACCAAAACCCATAGCCAAACCCAAACTCGAAACTGAAATTGAAAATCAAAGTGCCAGAGTATCTGCAACAGCAATAGCACAGTCATCGTCTAACAGCATCAGCGGTCAGCATCCCAACGGACAACGTCCAGTCGCCAAGCCATCAATCAGTCAACGCGTCAGTCAGTCAGTCAGTCAGTCAATCGAATCGCCCACCCGACTTCAACTTCTGGCTGGAGGATATCTTCGGTCGGCGCTTCAGTTTCAGTTCGCATTTGGACGCGTGCTGTGCGGCCTCGCCGATAGAGAAGTCGGATCGGAACGGAAATCGGAATTCAAAACTCTGAATCAGAATAGGAATCAGAATCGGAATCAGAATCAGAAGCAGAATAAGAATCGTGCGCGAATTAATCTATAACGTATAAAGAATCAAAACACTGGCGCACACACGTGTCTGAAGTTCAGTGACAAGCCCCAAATCAGGCGTCTATTCTATATTCCATTGAATATATATAAATCGTGAAATCGTAAAACACTTTTAATCAACTCGAAACCAAGCGTTGGCACGGCATAATTAATTCGTCTGACCCGCAAAGTTCACGTCGAGCAAATACGGTTGTGCAAAGTGTGCTCGATAAAGTGCGAAATATCCCAATCAGAAATCTAAAATAACTAGTAGCAACATGAAGCTGATTGCAGTATTGTTGGCAGGTACGTACAATAATAGTCCAAAAAAATAATGACTAAGCTAGCTATCGGCACTAAACAATATTTCTTTAGTGAGAAAAGAAAATGTATGATGCTGCTACAGAACATTTTTATTTCAAGTCGTTAAAAATGATTACTTTTCGGGTGAATTCAAATTAGCAATAAAGAAATATTTACGTTTCGTTTTCAAAAAATATTTGGCAACTTAAAATAATTAATTTTGCTTTCGTATCAATACACGTTTAGTTACCTCTTATAACGTAAGTGTTCTTTTTAAAAACATTTTAATCTTATTTCGGGGTTTTCCCATAAACAATCACTTAATGCAGTATAGATTTTTAACTGCAAAATTATGGGTGTTTTGTTCAATGTCTCCATAGAAAAATAATCTACTAGAGCAAATAATTTTCTGTATAAATACATATGTAACAAATTGCTGACTCACTCATTTAATATTAATCTTGTAAATAAGAAAAGTGGTGATTAGAGTCTCTGGGTCAGAGCAACCAGAGTGTGACCCACTAAAATAAATAGCAAAAAATATAAAGGTATAGTTACAATAAAAAATAGTACATTTAGCAATAGCCATTATATTTATAAGTATTTTTACAAGCCAAACGAGCTTCATTCAAATGCAATCGCAAAAGTTATGAATGGAAAATTTCATACTGTGATTGAGTCACTAGATTAGACACCCCAGCAACGCAGTTTTGCGGTTTTGGTGCTATTGCGTGCCGACATGGCTAATTAGGCATGCAGTGCTAGTTCTCGATTCACATTGCTGGGGACTGAGTCCACCATCCTCCATCCACCATCCACCGTCCACCAGCCCCTGTCCAATGGAATCTCGGAATCGGTGGCATTGCCAGACGCTCTGGCGTCGCCGAGAATCGATGGGCGTACGTTGATGTGGGTGATATCATGGGTGATGGGCTGATCAGGGCACTTTGTATGCAGACCTGGTTGACGGGCAGTGATTCTCTTCGCACGCCTCCTGCCTAACTAATTGGCTCTGATGTCTCCGTCTATTTATAGTGGCGCTGTTTGCCCTCTCGCTGGTCCAGTGCCTCAGCCTGCCCGATCCCAGCACCAAGTGCGTCATGGAGTGCGACACGCAGGCGTTCGGATGGATTTGTGCCGCGGACGACAAGGGCACCACCAAGAGCTACCGCAATCTGTGCGTGATGAAAACGGAGAATTGCCTGCAGAATGCAAGTGAGTGCAGAAAACTCTGGCTATTATTTTTGCCGATTTCAGATGCTAACTCACTAAAAATGTTTGAAATTTCATCTGCAACTAATCCCGTCACTATAACCGAAATCTTTTTTCCTTAGACTTTCAGAAGATCAGCGAAAAGGAGTGTCCGTAGAGCTGTTGAATCTATATCGATCCATCGATCTGTAGTCCAGCAGAAATAACTTAATCATGGAGGAGAACGAGTGTACGTGTACGCAGTTTGGCACGCTGGAGGACTCTTCTTTCTCGCGTGGTATTTGTGTGTGATATTTTTAAGTTGTACTTCAGCGGAATACAGAACACGCCTCCGAACGTAATGCATAATGATAATGTATTCTATAATTATTAATAATAAATATTAAATAAAGTAATCGTAACACGCAAAGTAAAGCTTAGTTCCTTGACCATCACAATGTTGATGAGACATATTTAGCGATGATTTCATTTCCGTTTTACCCCAACGATCGTCTACATTCGACACCCTGATCTTCTTATCTGTGCCCTGTATACATTGAATTGGAATTAAGTCATCAGACCGATTTAGAAAACCGAATCTTGATAGTCAGGCAGAGACAACCTCTGTTGCATTATCCGATTTTACAAAAAAGCTTTGACGGGAAGATTTTGGGATTTCTTGCAGGAAAAAAATAGTAAAGCTAATTTTTATAAAATTGTTCACTATCCAAGGGCAAAAGTTTAAAGGCAAAACAAACAGGATTTTTTGAGGCTTTGCGCCATTTCAACAATTTAACTTTAATTTGAACAAAGCATTTGATCGTATTTAGACAATGAGATTTAAAATTGGTTAACCTATGTACATATATGTTGGAGGGTCAAATTTATAACTAACTTGCTCATTTTCAAAAGGAACAGTTGACTTGTAATGAAAACCTTTTTCTTGAATGAATACCTTTTAAGAATACTTAGTAACTTTAGTTCTTCACTTTAAACATTTTTTTAAGTTGCAAATTTATATTTTTTAAAGCATACAGAAAATAAGTTATTTTTAAATAAGTAAAAAATAAAAAATGGTTAGCCCTTTCCAAAAATTTTAATTTTTAGATCTAAACAGTTTTCTTATGTTTTTTTCCTAACTAAAAATGTAAAATTAGATATAGTTTAATAATAGTAGAACTTGAACTCTTATGAATGCATGTCAAAGTCAATTTCGTTGCTTTGGAAAGGGAGCATTTAGTTTCTGGGATAAGATTTACCGCAAAATGACCCATCCTAGTAATACATTAATCATTTTAATACATTAAAACTGCTGCAGTCGCAGCTCCACTTGCAGGGCTATGCAGGCGCGCCGTTCCTCCTTCAGCTCCATGCCCAGCATGTTCTTCTTGTGCTCCAGCAGCGCGTTTTCGCGTGTGTAATGCTCAATTATTCGCTCATAGTCGGACTCCGGAGGGGCCTGCGACTCTACTGCCAACGCGGCCATTTGGCTGTTGATCGACTGCTGCTCGTACAACTGCTTGAGCCTGTGGACTTCTTTGCGCTCAGCAACGATTCGAGCCTTAAGTTCGTTCTGCCAGTCCATCAGCTCGTCATATTCGATTTGAAGTCGCAGTAAATTCTCGCGGTGCGGATTAGACTTGGGTAGTAAAATGAAGCCAGTGCCGGGATCAATAGAAAACTCGATGGGGGGTTGTTTTGAGAGTCGCGCCTCCGCTTTTGGCTCTTCGAGGGAAATACTGTTGCTAGTGGAATCTACTGGGGCGACTGTTGGCTTGGAATCCGTGGTGTCTTCACTGGCTACCGTGGGCGGAGCGCTGCTGCTGTTGTCCAATTCATCCACGGACTTTTCCTGCTTCTTTTCAAAAGGTGCGCAACTTCCGCTTGAGCTGAGTAATAATGCGTTGGACTTCCCAGAGTTGCTCTTCCCGTTTCTTGGTGATAAATCCAGCATTCATTTCGCTGTGTATCTGGGACAAAAGGCTGTCCTGCTTGCTCAACTCCTTCTGGATGTCCTCCCGTGTATCCGGAAAATTTGGGCTAGCCGATGTGAGCGGGGGCACATACCTAAGAGATGACACGTTAGTAATGAGATAACTTTGTTTAAGTTTTTGCCTTTCTGCCTGATTAGGAATTTAGCGATACGCGGAAAGCGCTTCTGTTTGCGGGTTGCCGCGCTCATCCTCAGCAGTTCGATAGCCGACTAAATTCCGTTTCTTTTACAGCCAGAATCTTATCTCAGAATTCTCACAGTGATGCAAATTATCTGGGTGCTTATAGGTACTTATTAATTATTTCATGTATTAATCATTTAATTATTTTATCATGTTCGGGTTATTCATTTTTTTAATTAAAAAATCTAATTATAAATCAATATGTGGAATAAATAAAATAATTGAAAACAAATTTATATTTAACTACTTTTAAAGCAAAATTTGTAAATAGGAATGGTAAAGGATATTGGAATAAATATGTTAATTGCAAACGGATATGAATTGATCAAATTTTAAGCACTTAACAAGAGAGGTACAAGTGCAAGTTAAGAATCACCAGAAAATAAGTACCTACCCAAGCCCACATAGATAATTCCCATTACTGACATCCGGCTAGCCGGTGTTTGCTCACTTTATCAGCTTGACGTCTGCGAACAAGGTGCTGCAGTGGCAGAGAAGGGCCACCATTAGTCGGTGGGACATCTGGAGCGTCGGACTGAGCAGCATGGCCAGCGACTGGGCGTTGAGCTTGTTGTACCGTTCCTGCTGGATCACCGCCTCGAAGTGGAGCAGCACCCACGCCAACAGAGTGCGGTTGCACTTGGGCAATTGCTCGAGCAGCTGCTGCAGCTCTGCCTGCTGCTTGGTGACCTTCGAATGGGAGGCAACCTGCTCAAAGCGCGCGACCAGATCGGTGGTCAGCAGCGGTTCCGGGAGCTCGCGCAGGAAGAGCTTCAGCAGACTGCAGGCGGTGGGCAGGTTGAGCTCATCAACGGCGGAGTCGTGCTCCCGGTTGTTGTACAACCGCTTGTAGTGCATCAGACGCGTCTTGATGGGCTCAATCTTGTATATCTGCTCGCACTTCAGGTGATCCTGCAGGTAATCAATGCAGTCGCGCACAACCAGGGGTATGTCCACGCCATCGTGGCAGCGGGATCGTTCAATGGCCAGACTGACGGATACCCCGAACACGGGATATCCGAGTGCCAGCACCTCCTCTGCGGCGGAGGCCTCGTCCTGCTGCTGCGACAGCTGCTTGCTCTTCTTGTCCTTTTTGTCCTTCTTGTCGGCCTTCTTGTCCTTGGCCTTGGGGGCCGGGGGAGGATCCTCCTCCGGATGCTTGGCTTCCTTTTCGGACTTGTCGCGTGACTTCTCGCGCTTCTCCTTGCTCTTGGAACTGGTGAACTTAAAGGTCTTGGACTTTTTGGACTTGGAGGGACTCCTGGGGGTACAAATAAAAGGGGATTACTGATGTCTGGAACAGGTGAATGTGGCCAAGTCCTCGTCACCCACTTGGTGTCCAGCTCCTCCTCCGGCGAGCTCTCACCACCCAGAGCGGCATATCCACGATCCTTGCCCTTATCCTTCTTGTCCTTGCGCCGGCCAATCAACAGGTCCTTCTTGCTGTGTTCGTGATCCTCGCTGACTGCCAATGGAAGATGGACCCATTGATTTTTCCCCGATTCCCAATTTCACGCCCACGCATTTTGGACTCCACTCACAGTCGCTCTCCTCCTTGCTCTTCTTCGACTTGGCATCCGCCGCCTCCGAGGCATACAGCCCGGGGAACTCCTTCTCCTCGGGACTGTCGAAATCCATGACGAAAAAATCACTTCCCCTGCGGTAAATAAATAATTTCCGTAAACAATTTGCGTAAACAACAACACATGCAACAAATAAATCAATTAATCGAGTAATCGGAACAGCGGCCCCTTGCCAACACTGTTATGCGCGAGCAGGTGGCGCCACTGTGTCATGTAGTGAACATGTAATAAAAGTCTCTTTGCCATTTTACATATTGCTCTGGTGATTTTAAGATTTAAGTTTGTGGGCGGGAAATCTTTCTCTACATCCTTTGAAATAATCGAAATTACGACTCTATAGTATTTAACGTTATCATATATTATATAAGGGAAACATCAGCATCACTAGGCATGTTGATATAGACGACTGTTTTGTGGATCTGAGAACCTAATCTGTCGATTTCAGGTTGTTTTGGAAAATAGGGGTACAAAAACACAGATTTGTAAAGCTTGTATAGACTTTTTAACCAATACAGGTTGAATTAGTAAAAAATATTTTTTTAACTATTTTCGCATTTTTTATAAGGGGTAACAATATGACTTTTTGCGACACCTGGCCCAAAATGCAATTTTTAGCTAAGAATACCATTAGCTTGGAAATTTAGTAACGAATTACAGTGTTTTGATTAAAAATCCGAAAACTCTAGGTTTTTTTCTGGATTTTGGCCATCAAAAACATATATTTAAAACACACATATTTTAAGTTGTAACTTTGCCAACACAAGACGCACAGCCAAGAGAATGACTGCTGGGAACCAGTCTCCATTTTCGCAAAAGAACACACTTAATATTCTTTATCAGAATATATTCTAATAATCTTATATTATTCATAAGATTGTGCCTACTATTTTATTTAGATAAATGCTTGTCTATTTTCTAAAATAAAAAATTTAAGAGGTTTTAACATTTTATATTCGGAAAACAATTAGAATAATCAGCTTGTAGCCAAACACAATTGCCCCACAATCAATCGGTTCCGCTTATCGCTCGGTTAGCAAGTGGGGTAAAGTGGGAAGAAGAGCCAAACAAATGCGAGAAGTGCGTGCTGATGCAGCTGATGCAATTCCTGCTGGGGATTGCAGCATTTCCAAAATGTTCCAGAGATTAGCGACTACAAGCTGGCCATCAGCAGTTGAGTGTCGTTGGAAAACAAGGATAATGGGGTGGTTAGCGTAGTGGCGGTCGAGTTCCCGCTAATTGCTCTATTTGGCTGACAGACACTGCCCGCATAGGCCAACGAAAGGCCGGCAATGAGGGTCACCAGGAAGGCCAGGCCCAGGATTCCGCAGCTGAGGCGGCGAACATTCTGCCACCAGGGATCCAGCGCGAATGGCAGCAACTCCTCCAGGGTCAGGCCGTAGGAATAGCTGCGAATGGAGCGGGGCGAAAATGAAAACACTGTGTAACGAAGTTATTTTTTAATGAAATGCGACGGAAAGCGTTTACTCAGCAGTTGTGAAAATGGGCTCATAATCCTTTGGATCCTTCCGCGTCGCAGGCACGACAATGATGTGCTGCTGCTGCTGCTGATGTCCTTGTTGCGTTGCCAGCAGCGCTGTTCTCTCATTGCAGGACATATTTGCCTTGAGGTACCCGGTAATTGTTCAGAAAAAGGGTGTATAGTTTATGTGCACGGCTTAAACCTGTAATTCGTATTTTCTTTAGCAGCCTATTTCCGTAGTAAAATATAATTAAACAATTCAACAACTAAAACATTTCTATATAATTTATAATCACACAATATTTCGCATTTTAAAAATCAAATAAATTTTTATATTTTCTAATTGAAAATCCAATGCAAACCTCAATATAAGAAGAAAATGGAGAAGTTTAAACAGCAAAGAATTTAATTTTTTGAATATCTACGACTGAATTATTAACCTTAATAAGCAATTTAAGAAAAATATAATTATTTTGGAATTTAAAGATTCCGAAACTGAAAAACATGATGCTTTAAAAAATGTAAAATGCAGTTATTATTATGAAAAAGATTAAATTATTAAGCAAATAAAGGCACTGAAACAGTTAGCATGCTGTTTTAACAAATATTTTTGGTTACTTGGAAGCCGGGTATCCAAAAGTCGGAGCCCCTCACCCTCCTTACTTGTCTGCCCCACGGGACTGTTTCTGGGATTACAAACACTCCAAGTCGTGCAGCTAGTGCAATTCGCTGGAAATTGCTCCGTGGGGAACTGACGGACAACTGGCGACTGGCTTTCGTTTCGTCGCAACTTTAATTAGCTTGCAGCTGCTGGGGTTGTCGTTGTCTCATTGCTTTATTGCTGTTTGCCTTTGTGCTCGGATTCCTGTAAACAACTTTATCTCGGCGGCTCTTGGCGTTGTCGTTGCCGTTGTCTCTTCAACGCTCATCTTCCGCAACCGGCGGTCTTATCTTGCGTCGCTTTTTTGGGGCATTGCATAACTGCAGCCGAGCAGTCGCGTCCCCCAGTTTCCCATAGCGATAAGTCGACGACTTCAGGGAAGTGAGATCGAAAAAAACCAATAAGCCGTTCAGTTTAATGTGTTAGTTTATTGGGTTTCGTTTGGTAAACATGCACGGAATACATATACAGCACTGCTGAGAGATGCCAGTAACTCTAGGCCTAGGCTCTATTCGATTCGATTAGGTAAAACGTTAAGCTTTCGTCCAGCTCTGCTCCTGGCTTACGTTACGAGTATGTTCTCTTAGTGAGTATATTCAAATGTGTAGCATTCGTTCGGGTATTTTCTTATAGCGTATTGAAGTGAGAAGAGAAACGGATAGTGAGATCGATAGATCTTCACCCCAAGCATATGCTACATAGACTACATATGTGGTATTCGATCTATACGATTATTTGCATACTTTATCGGTTTAGTTCTTGAATACATTTAAATGGGCCTCTGGATGTACGAGTATATGTTTGTTGTTTATTTGGTTTTTGGGTAAAATCACATTCATAAGTATACATTTAAAAATGCAGGTATAATTTGAATTCGAAAAAACACGATAACAAACAGCAAATGATTAATATTGTACAATACACATACATATTAACTGTTTGGTTTGCCCATCAAAACATACAGATTCGAATCCTATCCTATCAACTATCGTACATCTATAGAACTGAATTTCAAATTGATCAGGCCAATCAAAAACTATAAAAACCATAAGGTAAATAAGGGAAAAGTGGAACCAATAAGTTGATAAAAAAAACTGCTCACGCTTTTTATCCAGTTACGCTTTCTACTCCTAGTTCTTTAGAAGTACCTACATCCTAAGTCGGAAGCACTTTAATCGTTTTATTTGCCCTTGCCATTATAGATAATCGTCTATGGGTAATTGGTTGTATGTCTGGTTATCCTCTGTATCGTATTGTTTCATGCACTGCCCCCGTCACTTCTATTTCGTTCACTATTCGCTTTATTCCTACGCTCCGCGGTAATATATTGATTTCCTTGCCATGGATATATTAGTATGGCTACAAGCTTACCCTGACCCCTGGTCGATTTCTTCGAATCGTTTGTTAACTGCATTAATATTTCTTGACTGTTCTTGACTGCTTGAATCCATCAAAAACTTAGGCATACTCTGATATCGTCTTAATTTCGGCTTAAAAAGGGAAATAAAAAGACATTAATTGAAATAAATTTAAAATGAAATTTAATGATAATATCTAGCAGTAAACATTGACAATATAATTAAATACATTATTTATTCATATTTGTATATTTATTCAATTGTTTCATATGTCGTATATGTATGCGGTAATTAATTATCAATTACGTCTAAATTTGGCGCAGTTTTCTCAACGAGTTCCCCGAAAAGTTGTGTGACCCCAAATATATAATACAAATTTATGCATGTGGCTATAAATATTATTAGGCTGTTCCTCTTCCATTAATTTGCTAGAATTTTGCTATATGAAAAATAGTACAACATTATACAAAAAATATGTAGCTGCTCATTACATTTGGATTACAATCAATTTTAGTTATTTTCGGTATTGTTTTGGTGTTTGTCTTAATATCCAGTTTTTCTACTTCGATCACTGCCAGCGACGTAAGCGAATAGAAAGTCTTTTGTAAGTAAATTGATTAGTGCTCTCTTGAAGTTCTCGTAGTGATGGTCTTTCTTGCTAATCTCTAGTAAGTAGTACCGCCATTTGCTTGGTCAGAGTTAATGAAAATGTTACTAGTTGGACTTGTGTCGATAGTGTGAAGTGACTAGAACTAGTTGTCGAGGAGGCTCCTATTTGTTAATAGTAGTTGTAGTAGTATTTGTAGTAGATGGCTAAGAGGGATTGCGTTTCTTGTTGGCTAAAACCTTTAGATTTTTCCTAAAACTTACACATGTATTAAATTAACAATGGTATTCGGCAGATGGAGAGACAATATCGAATTTGGAATGCGGGACCCAATGGAAACTCTATTTCAAGTCCCAGCCGATCCCGAATTTCCACTTTGTTTTTTGGGGTGGAGTAAGTACAGCATTAACAAACAACAACAGTGACTTAAGTTGTACACAGAATGATATAATAAATATAATCGTATTTTAGAAGGTAAATTAAGTATATATGGCGTAACAATAAATGATCTCGTTACAGTTACAAGATTGCTGAGCCGTGGCAGCCTTTCTGTATTTACAATTTATATATGAATAGAGACAATAATAGTAAAAATGGTTTTTGTATATAAGCCTCACTTAAACCTAGTTAAACATTAAAATTTTACTTTTAGTATTAACATAAATTTTACACAAGAAATATTTATATATAGCGCAGAGCACATTTCATATATATAAATAAATTTCATAAGTTTACATATAAAAACTGCATCTACAGCATCTTTCGACAGCTTCATAATATCGGTTAGCTCTTCTGTCTTCTGTCCTCCGTATTCTCGTCTAACTTTACGGACTCTGCCAAAAATCCAACGCCAATGCGAATAACAAAGCCAACGGCAAAGTCAAATCAATGATGCAGTTGCTGGCACCTTAGACCACGATGACGTCGTAGGCCTCCAGAATGCAGATAACCACATAGAAGACCCAGAGGAAAACCAAAATCGCTGCGCTGATATATTTGGAGACCTTCGGGCCGCCCAGTTCGGCGCCAATGCCCTTGTGCCAGCGCCGGAACATAATGATGAAGATGGCAATCAGGGCCTCACCGCAGAAGAGTGCCACGGCAAATCCAATCCTTAAAGAAAATAATAATTAGAACGAGTTATGTATAAGATATGAGTCAAAATTCTACAAATCTTACAAGGTGATAATACTAAGTAATAAATAATACAAATATATATAGTTTCAGTATAACTAGATAAGAAATAATATACTTGCAGCATTTCTATTCGAGTAGTTAAAATGTTTAGTTTTAAAAAGTGACACCAAATTAATAACAAAATTACTTATTTAGATTAATAGTAATAACAATATGAAACCCTGGTCTAGTGACGCGACTATCAAATAATCGTTATGCCTTATATAAAAAACAATTATGCCCCTCTTGTAAGTATATTATTTACCACTAGTAGTGGGTATACAAATTGAAACGTTTTAAAATTAATTGTCTATCTAAACGAGAGAATAATAAAAAGCTTTAAAAATCATTTCAAGTCTAAGCAATGTTCTAAGGACTTATTGGTATGAATGGGCTACTTACGTTCCCGGCTCCACGAAGAAGGCATTGCCATGGGAGCTGTGGTAGACGGCGGCAATGGTCCAGGCCAGGCCGATTCCCAGAAACACGTTGACCGCATTGCTGCCCGTGACATTGCCGATACAATTATCGGCGCCCTCGTCGTGCTTGGCCGCAATCATGCTGGCGAAAGTGTCTGAAGGGCAGAGGGAGTCCGGTGTTTGAGATGGATACTTCGACCGGCGTTTCGAATCACTCACCTGGTATGCTGGTGCCCAGGGCGACAAAAAGAATGGCCGTTACCGAGTCCTTGATGTTGAGGGCGCAGCCGAAATAGGAGGCGGCATCTCCGATGATGGCCGTGATGACGCCAATCACGAATATGGATACCACAAAGGTCACATAGCCGCCGCAAATGTCTGTGGGCGAGAATGTGATAAGAGATTGGCCACCGAGGACTCCAAGGGGTGCTTACCTGTGGGCGGCACAAATGCAAAGAGAACCTTCCAGAAGAGGCAGACGAAGTGGCTCACATAGCTGAAGCAGCTGGGCACCTCCTCCTCCGCATCATCGTCGTTATCGAACTCACTTTCCTCGGCTGCAAGTGTTTGTTTGCATAGAAAGGGCTATCTTGAAATTGAAAAAATTAAGCAAGTCTACCTGGGATAACGGTGAGGGCATCTTTAAACTGTTCCTTCCAGGACGAAGTGCCAAGGACGGCAGAAACGTTCGCTTTGGCCACCAGTTTGTCCACTGTAGCCTGTTGAATTTAAAAATACCAAATGATAAGAAATTTAAGTAGGTGAAAATCACATCAGTTTCACAACTCTTGAAAAACTATAAAAACCGCTTGGAAACGGCAATGTCAAAAAAACCGTAATGACTACTAACTTTTTCCTGCTCATATTGCATTACGTATACGCCACCGACAGACAACGAATTCAAGCTTATAAAACACACACAGACAGGGTCACAGACGGAGAGTAAACAGAGCACTTAAAGTGTCATTTGGAGATTTGCACACAATTAGGTGCTTATTTGGCTTACACCTGAGCGGTTGACGGTAACTCGATCTGGCGCGTGGATAAAGATGGCTTTCCAACTGGGAATCATTAGGGGTGTGAATGTCTCGCCCACGCATTCACTTAGCTAAATGTAAATGTGTGCTGGGGGATTTGGACTTGTTGTTTCGGTCGTCAAGTGAATGGAATTGCTTTTCATTAACATTGTAAAACTATTTGCGGATGTATCCGGTGTCGAAGGCAATCAAAGCGATTACTTACCTTGAATTCCTGGCTCTCGCGGATGCGCACGATCGCGGTGGTCAGCTCTCCATTTCTTGGCTTGCTCAGCAGCAGGATGCGATCCAGTTCGGTCAGGTCCTGAACTGCCTTTTTTTCGACCTCCTTGATTTTGGCTGCCATTTCATCGTCTTATAAGGGAGTAAACACTGAATTAGTTATCCGTTTCGATGGCGAGTTAAATAACACCGTGTTGCATGCAGCCACACCCCCACAAACAAAGTATCTCGTAATTACATGGTATTATAAAGTATAACTAGACAGACATAGGGTGTGTGTTGGCATACAAACGAAATGGTGATAGGAAATAGATTCAGAACAGAGATTAAAGCAGTGATTCGCACTAAAATATATACTTGGACTGAAACAGAAACTAAAGCACACATACGCCCCCAATTAGTGGGACACTAATTAGAAGCATATGGTGATAATAGGATGCGGGCTTCATTTGAAAAGGGGAAGTCAACCAAAGAGGGGAAAAGCGGAAACAAATCGAAACTCATTGAAATGCCAAGGCATCGCCTTTAAAGCCAATCCTCTTATTGGAATACATTTCAATTTAAAGCTTTTCGGCTTGAACCAGCAACTTTAATGAGCTTGCAAAATGTTTATGGTAAAGTGCCATCAGGATGCAATTGAGTGGAAAATGGAAATAGATAAACTGCATATTAGACAGACAGATACAAAGGCAGGGACAGAGCACAGAAGAACCAGGCATGCATAAGGTCACAGATTGACATTAGGTCCCCCGATATTGATGACTCACGAGTGGGATCTCCGGAGTGTTCGTGTTTTTCTATAGACATCGACAACCGACATTCGACAATCGACAACATGACAAGTACGTGGATGGGGTGGTTGGGGGTAGAGTTCAGAGAATCGTTGTTAAATGGTCTCAAACATGTTGGATATTGCTTCAACAATCACTTTCTAAATATTCAGTTAACGAATATGCGATGCCTACAATGACTGTGGTGATTTGTCTTTGAACCTTGCTACATTTTGGATGTTCTTTAGTCGGGTTATTACATTTAGCTTTGGTTTTTAATTCTTGTTTTTTTTATTTTAATCCAGAGGATCAAAGCACGCACACATATAGATACTTGACAGCAGAACAACACAGAACTGAATACATCGACAATGTCTTAAGTTAAATCAGAAGCCGTTCACGATTAAATTATATATTGCCTTACGTCTAGAACACACAGATAATACACGGTAAGTGGTAATAAAAAAAAAAGAGGAAAAGAGGAAACACAAATTACGGAAAAACAAAAGCCAAGTATCAGGTACTCATCAGCGTTTACGTTTATTACTTACAAATCGATTTGGCGATGCAGAGGCATGTTTGAGTAATACCGATGATATCGGAACGGTGCGAGATCGGGTGTTCGAGTTCGAGCAGCAAGTCGGGGCACAGGCACACAACAATGTGGGAGGAGCGGGCACAAGCGCGTTTTACAAATGTCCGCCGAGCATAGAGATAACCAAAATATTACCAAAAACTGTGACCCTGGTCTAACTTTATTTCAATTGAAGACGAAACCCGATTCGCTTGCTTGCTCTGGGAATTGCTTGGTTTTGCTTTTTTTCTTTTCTGTTTTTCTTACTTTACAGGAAGCTTGAAGCTTGCATTTATCAAGTGCGTGGCTGCTGCGTCGAAAAAAGCGCAATTGTTCGGGATAAATGCAGATGCAGTTGCACACACACACACATATACGCAACGCCTAAACATTTAGATACAGATACGGATACGGATACGACACTAAAACGCACATTTAGCTGATATTATGTATACGACATGTGGGTTAATGGCCAATCGAATTAACAAAACAATAAGACACATGAAATGATAATGCCGACCGCTTGCTTTCATCTTTCTCCATCGTTCTCATTTTGTGGCATATTCACTATTAACTGAACACTTGAAATGGTCGATCGATCGCGCAATATGCAAATATATGGCAAAGACAGATGTTTACATACCAAAAAATCGATTGAAAAATGATTCCTTATTAGTGTCATCTGCGTGAGGATTGAACGTGTGTCATTTGGCAATTACGGAGGCAAGTGGATCGATTGGATTAGAGAGACAAGTATGGACAATGGTGGTGTTAAGTCTAGTTTATGTTATGGCCACAAGCAAATGTCGATGGTTAGTACTTGGGATCTGGGTGCACAGTGCTGTGGGTGGTTGAGGACATGGTGGTGCTGGGGGACATGGAAGGGGAGGATCTGATAGCTAATCTTTCTCGGTGGGCTAGGACTAGCATTCGACATGGGGTTACAGAAATGGGAGTGAGCTACGCTAATGGCTAACTTCCATGAAGAATCACATACAGAACATAAAACCTTTCTGTTCATCGCCAGTAAATAAATACCCATAGTACATACAGAAAAGGAATGGGAAATAAATATTTAACAAAAAACATTAACAGGAAATGGTATCATATCTAAGGTGGGAGCATACACAACACCTAAGCGAAATACGCAATTAAATTATGTTTATTGCTTATTCTCGTGGAATGGCAGATTTGGGTTCAACCAAAAAAGGGAAAGAATAAAATGAATTTGCACTTTTTTGCCCGCAATTTCCGCACTCGGTGAAGGAAATAAATGGAGCAGAAACTAAATGTTACTGTCAAGAAACCCAAAACCCGAAAGTGTTGGCCAATCGCAATTGGACTCTCACTTTTCCCATTTTCCGTTTCACGTTTCAGCGCTTGGCGCTTCCACGCTCTACGCTTTCGTGTTCAATTAAAATAAAATTAATTAATGCACAATTCATGGCTTACGGTAGTGAGTGGAATCTAGAAGCATAAAGAACACAAATTAAAAGACCAAAAAGTATAAAAGAACCCATGAGTCGATAGGATGCGAAAAGACATACGAAACCAAATAACAATTTTTATCAAATCAAATTGGAATTTCCAATTTACAAAGTTTTCATGTTTCGGGTTTTTTCTCAGCTGGCCTTTTCCACCTGTTTGTAATATTTTTGGGGTCAAAGCGAAAGAGTCATAAGGGTACAAGGGATATTTTTGGGTGTGGAATGGTGGGGGGGAGGGGGGAGATTGGGTTTTAAGTTGGAGTGCTGAATTTCCCCAAAGTGTTGGTGTCCCGGGTGTGTCGCAGGCTGAACTTCTGACCAGGACAGAGATACGAGTGTGTGCCATCTTCGGTGCACTGCTAGCCGGGCTGCTTCACGTAATTTGGTTAGCATTTTCAGTTGGGTTTCGGGTGGTATTCATGGGTCTTTTGGGTTTTCGGGGTGGGGTTTTGGTTTCGGGTTCTGGTGCTGGTCACTGCCGCAGTGTGGCCAAAACTCACCTGGCGCCAAACGAGGTTCTCCGATGTGCACCTTGAAGCTGACGTCCTTCTCATAGCTGCTCTCCTCCAGGATATACAGATCGATGAATTTCCTGCAAGGGATTAGGACGCAGGGATTAGTGCTTAGCCAGGACATAAAAATGGGCGTGGTTTTGTCGGGTGTGAAGTGTGTAATCGACTGCATATAAGCCAAGAGCCTTCGGCTGTTTGATTAATGCTCTTTACCTTGGGTAAATGGTCGCAATCTTGACACTCGAAACGGAGCTCCGAATTTATTAGGCAGCATTAAGTGCGCAGCTTTCTGCTGCGACATTGCCACCTTGTCCCGCCCAATTATTCCCAATGCTGGGATGGTGTGTTGTGTAAATAAAAAAATATTACGTATACGCCCGGTGGGCCTTGTGAGAACATAAATATTTGCATTATTCATGTGTGCTGTAGTAGATACTTGTGACTCAAGTGGCTCAAATTATAATTGCTTCAAAGAATTTATTATTTTTAGCCATGAAATCGGTATTTTGGTTTGCTTTCAATGCGAATGCCCAAACATTAATTGGCCACAGCAATAGCGATAAGTTTAAGTGGGCAAACACGATGGTAAAAACTTTAAGATTTGCGTATTTAACCGTTTCAGCTTAGCTGACTACCACTCACAATCTTTTGGCTAATTTTCTCGCTGCCAAGTGCAAACCAAGGTCAGCACTCGCCCGCCGGCTCAACTTTAACCTTTCCCGCGGTTGGCAGCTGCCTTTCTTCCATTCCAATGCCTTTGCATTTCTCAGCTTGATATTAAAAAGGAAAACCACGGGGCGAAAAACAGTCACCTGTTTATGACCCGCTTTTTATGGCAGAAAATAAATGTGAAATGTGGCCCACCCCCCGCCCTAACTGGTTATACTGCCCATCAACTCATTCACGTGCCTCCGCCAGATTTTCCATCCTGATTACGTGATGGCCAATGGCTTTCCCGGCCATTTCATTGGAACTCGGTCCGCAACAAGTCTCACTACTCACGTGCCCGACTATTATTCGAATCCCACCAAACCCCCGTACAATAAATCTATAAAATTTGTCGCTGGCCATTGTAAATAAAAGCATGCTTGGGACTAAGGGAATTAGTTGGCGTATTAGATTTGATGCGATTTGGAATTTACGTCTCCGCCTTATCGTATCTTATCGCAATCGATTCGACCGAATCTTTCGATAGGCCGAAGTCGGAGTAACCGCCAACCAGGGTCAGTCTTGAGCAAGATGTTCCGCAGGTTGAACGCACTTCTGATCGCCATTGCCCTGCTGGCCCCACCCATTTGGTCGGCCCCGGAATGTGGCCGTAATGAGGAGCAGTGTAAGGAGCACAGGATGCATCCGGATATGCCGGAGCCGGAGTTGAATGGACGGGCATTCCGAGTGGTTGAGGGCGAGGAGACCAGCGCCTACTGGCGCGAACAGGGCGTTCAGTTTGTCCAGAAGAAGCTGGCCACCGAGTTGAACAAACGCCAGGCCAAGAACGTGATTCTCTTCCTGGGTGACGGCATGGGTGTGACCACCACCTCGACGGCTCGAAATCTTCTGGGTGGCGAGGAGAAGACCCTCTCCTTCGAGAACTTTCCCTATACGGGTTTCTCGAAAACCTATTCCGTGGATAAGACTGTTCCGGACTCGGCCTGCACGGCCACCGCTTACTTGTGTGGCGTGAAAGGTCAGGAGGGCACCATCGGCGTCAATGGGCAGGTGCCCCGAACCGACTGCAAGGTCATGCTGGACGAGAGCACCCACGTCGACTCCATTGCCAAGTGGGCCATGGAGGCGGGCAAATGGGCGGGTCTGGTGACCACCACCCGCGTGACCCACGCCTCGCCCTCCGGCGTCTACGCCCACATTGCGGAGCGGGACTGGGAAAACGATGCGGAGGTGACCAGCGACTGCGGAGCCAACTCTGGAATCCAGGACATTGCCTACCAGTTGTCCCGCGGCGAGGTGGGCAGCAAACTCAAGGTCATCATGGGCGGCGGACGCAAGAACTTTGTGGACTCCAGCCTGGAATCGTGGGGTAAACGTACCGACGGTCTGAATCTCCTCGACGAGTTCAAGGCGGCCAGCGAAAGGAATGTCTATGTGACCACCGCCGAGGAGCTGGCGTCTGTGGATGTGACCAAGACCGATCGCCTGCTGGGTCTCTTCAACGACGACCATCTGCAGTACCTGATGGAGACCACGGCGGAGAGTAGCCAGCCCACGCTGGAGCAGATGACCCGCAAGGCCATCGAGTACATGAGCCAGAGCGACCAGGGCTACTTCCTCTTCATCGAGGGCGGTCGCATCGACCAGGCCCACCACATCAACCAGGCGCGGATGGCTCTGAATGAGACCATTGAGTTCTCCAAGGCCATTGCCGCCGCCCAGGAGCTGACCAGCGAGGACGACACCCTACTGGTGGTCACCGCCGACCACTCGCATGTGTTCACTTACGCCGGATACTCGGTAAGTGCGGAAGTTTCATTAAAATATGAAATATCGCCCCTTTGTTAAATGAATTTTAAGTAATACAATTACTTTCCTTTATTGTTAGTACCGTGGTTCGGATATATTCGGAATGGCCCCAGTAAATGGACAGGATGGTCTGCCCTATACAGTCCTGAGCTACGCCAACGGACCGAGTTACGAGAACTTCTATGACGAGAAGACAAAGGAGCGCATCGATCCCACCACCGTGGTGACTGGTGCCCACGATGATGAGTTTCCCTCGGGAGTGCCAATCGACATGGACTCCCACGGTGGCGATGATGTGCCCGTCTATGCCCTGGGTCCCTGGGCGCACCTGTTCACCGGAGTCTACGAGCAGAGCACCATCCCCAGCCTGATGGCCTACGCATCCTGTTTGGGCGCGGGCCAGACCATGTGCAAGTAGGATGCCATGCCGCCTCGCCATAACAATTAAGTTTGAAGCTCATTAAATATAGCCAGCGAACGGCATTTGCATTCGCCTGCACTCGAGTTTATTATGCGAACGCAAACTGCAAATTGAATTAAAGTGAGTTTGCAGGGAAATTCTTAACTGGGTTACTCTGCCCCGAGTTTGCCGTTTCGCGGTGGTGGTGGCGGGGATTGACTTCCCATCATCGCCCTCGTAATTCACAGTTTGAAACTCATCAGGGCTTTGAAGTGAGAGTTGCTCCTTGCCCGACTTCTTGGCTCTGGCATTGTTGGGTTCCCTTGCGTGCGCACGCCAAAAGTTTGGAACCCATGCAAAAGTGCAAATGGGCACGTTTTAGCTCGTGCTGCGGAGCGATTAGGGAGATTAGCGGGCAGACTCCGTGTATTGCGAGTTTTGTAATTGCATATTTGCAATCCCAATTTTCCATACGCCATCAAAGGGTAATTAAAACCATTAAAAGACATGCGTCATCGCCGGGCTGACTAATTTGAAAAATTGCACGCAAATTGCCTGCTGAAAAGGGTTCCAATAACTTTATGCCGTGCGAGAACGAGAGCGTTTCCACCTCTATTTCCGATTCGATTGCACGCCAAATTATATCCGCCGCCCAACGAATGGATGTGTGTGTGGCGAAGACCTCATTTCCCCCATATGACAGCTATTAAACCAACAACGGCAAAGCGCCAACCTCAAAACAAGAACCCCCCCCACCAGTCGCTTACCCTGACATTCAATGCTAATTCTCTTGTATTGCCTATGCCTGAACCACTTCCGCCGTTTGATTTCAATGGCAACGACCATGTCGTTGTCGCCCTTTGTTAACCATACCCATAACCCATACCCACACCCGTTCCTAATCCATTCGAGGGGGTATGTAATGGGTCTATTGATTTTGCAAAACTAGCAAGTGAGCTTCTGACCAGAAGCAGACAAGTGGGCCCACGCTGTGGCCACCGAAAGCGACATGGTCAAAGAGCAGCTGTCGTGGGCTCAACCAGAAGGCCGGACGACTTGGCCAGCGGTCGTGGTTGTGGTCGTGGTCGATCTGGTCTGGACTGGATTGCCAACAAGTGTTCGAGAAGGTTCTTACCACAGAAAAGATAATTTGCAGTGGCCGATACACTGGGTGGGGGACATAGAAGTTTCAACCCTCCCCACTTAAATACGAAGTCCAATTCGGAAATTAATGTGCTCAAAAGAACTCTCCTAGTCTGCATAATCTTTTAATTAAAGATTTTTTGATGCAAGTTTAACTTTCAGCAAGAGTAGTGCCAAAATATATCTCTACCTCTCATGATTTTAATCTAAATTAATTACAGCACTGACTAGACTCTTAATAGCGAATTTGTCACAATAAAATAAAAAAAGATTTCCACCAAAAACTTTTACGACTTAGCAAAAAGTTAAAATTTGTTTCGTATACTTATGTTTTCAGCTGAAACCCAAACACTAGCTTTAATCATAATAAAAATGTTTAAAATACTCGAGAGAACTAGGCAATGGTTTCGAGCCATCAGGAAAGTGTGGAAAAAGTTGGACAAAGGGGGAGCGACTCACATTCCCACTTGGCCAAGACAAAAATCAGACAATTTGGTTAGATAAGCCTTGTAAGCCGACGATTACAGTCCGCACCTCCGCATTCCGGATCTGTTTCAGCTTCCGGCAGCTGCCGCATGTCCCACACACAACGACAACGTCCAGTAGCGTCTCAACTGATTGATGCCACAGCTCAGGCTAATAATCCGTCCGAGAGGTCCTGCCCCTCGTGCCTGCCACTCCGATTTCACAGCTCCTGCTAAGCGCCTCAATTACCTGCCCACTGGCTCCTGGCTCATCGGCATGCAAACCCACTGTTGTGTTGTCCCCCCATCCAATCCCATCCCCAGGAATACCCGTATGGTCAGGCACACATAATAGCATTACTTAGTCAACGCAAGGGCGAGGCCACCCCTCAGAAAACTGGGAATCGAAAAGGGAAATGGCGGTGGCGGTTGCGGAGTGGGGTGGTAAAACTTGTGCTTGAAAATAAAATTAAAGAAAAATACAGCAATTTGCATAGCAATGAGCGGTGCACAAGTTCCAAGCCGAAAAGGGCGGTGAGGGGACTGCCTTTGGGCGGGACTAACCATTGCATTGGCTAACTTTTACCTTTGGTTGGCTGTGTATCCTATCTGCCCACTTGGCAATTCCAGCTGAGCCACCCAAAAGAATCATCCACCCAGCGGGGAAACGTCGCTTTTGGTTGGAAGTTTTTGCGAATGACGTTGCGACTGCATATCATATTATTGGGGACGCAGTGTGGCTTTTGAGGTTTTGAATTTTAAATTCCCATTCAAGGTGAAATGTCTAAGTCACCTGGGTGCGGAATTCATTTCACCTCCACCACCGGTCACACTGAGCGAAATTAAAAAAGGCTCAGAGAAAGGTGACCGAGCGGAAAAGCCTTGGCAGCCAAACTATCCAGTGGTGTTGATTGCAATATGCATCCATTAGATTGCCAGCGTCCGGCCAGTCGGTCAATTAATAATGCCCTCTCGATAATTATTAATGTGTTTGCCAGGCGTCGTTTTAATGGAATTTCCAGGAAGAACTGCAGGATGTGCGGGTGGAAATTCGACAAGAAATTTCAGCGTCAGATTGATTGCCACTTCGGGGAATTCAATTAAGAGCGACTGCCGGTCGTCCTTGAGTTGTCGTCCATTCCAAATTAAAGGGGAATTAAATGACCATAAATTGTTTGGCACGTAGAAATTATCGCCAATCTGTTTGAAGTTGAATAAATGCGGATATTCCCTAGAGTTTTTCTTTTCAACAGGTGGACTCTGCGGTCAGTTGTGGTGAGCTCAAATTGAATGCGCCTTAATTGATTTTAATATTACAAATCGTAAAAAATTGTATGCTTAATAATTTTATGTACCATTAATACTCTAGTTAAAAGATATATAAAACCAAACCAACATATATATTTTCATTAATAACAAGTGGTCATTAATATGTAACTGGTAACTTAAAACTTATTTTTTATGGAATTAAAAGTTTCAGATTTCATATAATTTCGTTATAGACCATGGGATTTTAAGTTTAAAACAAACAAGAATTAATAAATTTCGGGAAAACAGAACATTGTTTTACGAAAATCAAAATGGGTATTCAAGTTACTTGGTAATGACAATCACTGAATTTTGCTCAAGCCTCTTGGCCATTAATTCAATAATTTTGCATATCAAACATGCATACTTAATGTCCGTGTGGCCTAAAGTGGCGTGCCACTGCATGTGAGGTATCAAGTGCAGATTGGATGGCAGCAAGGGCCGGCAGAGGGCAGAGGGCAAAGGTCAAGGGTGTTAATTTAATAAATTGAAAACTGAAAACGAAAAAGTGGCTATTCTTCGAAAGTCCATCAGAGGGTCATAGTTGTTGTTTCAGCGATCTATCAAGCTGTCAAATATTGACGAAGTAACGAGATTCATTAAAAATTTATCGAAATTTTCTGAGTTGCCTGAAATGTTGTCCGTTGGTTTAGTGCCCCAGTTCAGCAGGATTGCGAGAGTCCGTAATGACTTCTATGGACTTTAGACTGGCAGTAAAATTGAGCCGTAATTTGGCGAGTCTATCAAAACGTCAAGATTCACTGACTTGCGCAAACATTTCATTGAAACCAAGCTGGTTTACCTTTAAACTTTCTCTATTCTCCTCAAAAAGTAGATTAATTAGTAGAATGTTCTAATTTATTTTAATTATTTCCTGGGATTATATATACATATAAGCTCAATCCAAAATATTTCCGTCATTTTAAAACCTCAACAGAAATGTCTTTTAAATTGCTAAAAACAGGTCTTATCTGTGGTTTGTCACATGAAACGCAAAGGGGTGATCTAAACGTTCCGATAGCGACAAATTGAATGCATGTTCGACAAGTGAGCGTGACCGGAGTGCAGAACAAAGAGTTGCCTTCTGCCTTTGAGCGGGTGTCGCTGCAAAGACAACAAATTACACTTGTTGAGGCGCGAAATTAACAACAACACACTATCTCTGGGCCGACAATCGGATCCGGTAAATAATAACCCACCAGCTAAATGCGGGCCAGTCGAGCCATGTCACATGCAGGCGGTGTGGGTGGTGCTGGGTGGTGGAGGGTGGTGTGGTCCCAGGGGGAGGTAAATGGTTGAAGGTAAAAGGTTGGGGATACCCAGCGGTGTAGTCACGTTTCGTATGTCCTGGTTGGAGAACTAAATAATTCCATGTTGCGCTTCTTTGTTCTCAACTTAAACTAAACGGTTTTCAGCTGCACCGAGAAAAAATGCCGAGGAATTTCAAAAGTAACATAGTTCAAAAATAAATTGGTATTTATTTATTTTAATCTTTAATGTCAGGTAATTTAATTTAAACACAAACATCGTGTTCAGTTATTCATACTTATTTAAACTATCTTCTATGCAAAACAAATGTGAAAATAAGTTAACAAAATTTAATTTATTTATATAACTAATGGATTAAGCAATTTTAAGTTAAAGAAAATACAGTTTTTATGTAAAGCTTTAAAGTAACCAAAATGTACAAAACAAATGTACATGGAAAAAAAATAAACAATTTATAAAAAAGAATGGACTTTCCAACTTTCTCGTTATTTAATTGAATCAATCTCGGAAATGGTCTCCAGTAAAATCACAAATTAATTCTGTGGTTGTTGTTTCCCCCGTTTTTTCCTTTTTACAAGGATCTGAAGAAATTGCGGCTGACCATGACAAAAGTTTCCACACAGTAAATAAACGTGAGATGTTTTTCTGGAATTTTAGATTACCGTTTAATTGGCCACAGCCCCCCAGGTTTTTTCCCCCATTGTCGGCACGTGTGGTCGTGCCCAGATCTGGCTGTAAAACCACTGAGCAAACTCGCATTTCGTATTTATTTTTTTTATGTTTTTGTTTAGACAATTTCGTTTTTCTGTTGGCGCTGCCATGTCGTATGAGTAATAGTTCATTCATTAAAAGGCCGTAAAAATACAGAGCTCGGGGGAAAATATTCGGCGGAAATGTCGGAAAATGAAAGAGACCAATTCACGTCGCGTTGACCGTCGTAATCACCT